GACTTTTGATGAGATGGATGGATTCAGAGACTGGGGTAATGAGGGTAGGTGTGTCAGAGACAATAAGGTTGGCTCAGTATAGAGCAGGGCTCAGAGCTGTTGCACACAGGGTGGCAGTGAATCACAAGTGACTCAATGGCACATAACAACAAGAACATACCCCCAAACCTACTCAAGTTGAGTTCAAGTGATAGAAATCCACTACGGGGTTTCTGAGGCTCTAAATCTTAATGAAGGGGACTGCTTATCTCCCTCCAGTGCAGTCATGGTGGATTCGAATCACTATCCTTTTGGTTAGAAGGGCAACATTTTACACATTATACCACCAGAGCACCTTAAACAAGCATTATTTTGTTGTTATGTATTACTGATTTGGAATAACTCATAGCTGACCCTCCAGCAGGTTTTCAGAACCTGTACACTGCATGGGAAGAGAATGACCATCCCTCTCCAGAGGGGTGGTTGGTGGATTTGAACCACGTGCTATTGAGCTGGCAGAGGAACTCCTTGCCACCAGAGCTCCTTACGCCACCACTGCGCTGTTGTTATGCAACATCAAGTGAAAATCGACTCATAGCTAACCCTCCAGTAGGTTTTTAGAGGCAGTAAATCACATAGGAGGAGAGTATCTGTTTTGCTCCTACGGAGCAGCTGGTGGATTGGAATTGCGTGTCTTGGGGCTTACAGCACAACTCCTTACCTTTAAGTCACCAGGGCTTCCTACCCCACCATTACAGTGATCTTAAAAATAAGCAAATGCCTCCCCACATTGCAAGAAAATGAAAATGACCTTTCTCATCTGAGCTAACAGTCCTTCAAATTCCTTCAGGTTGAGTGTAGTTCCGCTGTAGGACGTACAGCTGTTTGCTGCTTTTCCTAGCCAGTAAATGGTAACTAATACCTGTGAAACAAACAAACAAAAAAAATCATGCACAAGACAGAAAAAGAATTTTCCCCCTTAATAATCACTTTTAAACTAAGGAACTGAATATGTCTCAACAAAAAGAAAGTAAAAAAGGAGAGAATTCCAACACTGATTTTTTCCCTCTTAAAACCACCACCGTCCATGTGGTACCCATTAAATGCACATGCATTTTAATAAGAACCCAAGCTGTATCAGTTGACACCAACATGATCCAGTAGTTAAAATAAGGCTCCAGGCCAGAAAAAGTAGCCTGAAAACAGTAAGAAGGAAAAGGAAATGCCCCAAACTTTTATTCATGGAAGGAGGTTTCAAAATTAGCAGCATGATTTTTCAACAGTTTCTAGAATCTTTGGTAGGATGAGCAACTAGGCAGATTGTCAATTCCTTTTAAGGCAGGTGTCTGGGGGTCTACAATTTCTACTTGTGGGCAGATAGAGTCTTGCAAAGATCAATAGCAAAAATCTCCAAGGAGTAATGAAAGTTAATTAGTGGTTCTAAGCACAGGGGCGACATAACGATTTCCATTCAAGTCAGAGGAAAGTAATGCAATGACGAATTCTATCTGCAGACCCTGAGCTTTGGGTGTAGTTAAAAACCAAAACCCAAGCCCATCCTGGCTTATGGCAACCTCACACGTATAAAAGTAGAACTGTGCTCCGTAGAGTTTTTAGCGGCTGATTTTTTTTTTCAAAAGTACATGAGACGGTTTTTTCCCTGAGGTATCTCTGGATGGATTTGAATTTCCAACCTGTCAGCGAGCAGTCAAATACACTGACCACTTGCACCACCCATGGAGGTCCTGGGTTGGGTACAAGATCCTATGAACTTGAGATGGGAAATGTAAAGCCTTGACAACATTGGTGCCAATGGAACAACCTGAAGTGTAATATGCAGTGGCCTAAAGCTGCATGCACAAGTTCTATTAAAAAAAAAAAAGAAAAAAATGTGTCACAAGAGCAAATGTTTTTTCACACTGCCTTTCCCTTCTAACAGGAGCCCCCTTCAAACTGACTTGCTGGAATCTGCAATCTACGTAAAAGCTAAGGTTATGATTTTATTTTCACTTTTTTTATTGCTTCAGCCCGCCTGGGAGGTACGTGTGCCTCCCTCCACTTACTAAGCCAGCAAATGCTTTGGACAACATGATATGTATATATAATCCCAGATGGCATCTGGCCCAAAATATGGCTGTATGAATCAATGCTATGATGTGATTTGAGTCCCTAACTCTGAGGGAAAAGTTTACTTCATCCATGCTTCCAAGCTCCAAGAAAGTCTTTCTTAACTGATTGCTTACAAATGAATTGCCAGAGAACAAACGATCCCAATTTTAAGGACATTAATGAGGACCATAAAACAACTCATTTGAGCAGAGTATGAGGCCACCTTGAAAGGCATACTGGGAGGATGGGAGGTAGAACAATGTTTCTTCAAATTGTTTTTGTTTATTTAAAGCTTTATGGTAAAAATAGCTTTATAGAGGAAGAAAAAAAGAAAGAGAATGACAAACAAATAGAATAAAAATTAATCATGTTTGAGTCAGAAGTGCCTCCAAGCTGGCCCTCCATTGGGTTCTCTGAGTGTGTAAATCAGGCAGGGGGAGACTGACCCTCTTTCTCCAATGGAGCTGCTGGTGGATTTGAACTAGCTAAGATTACCTTTGTGTTAGCAGGGCCACTCCCTACCCACTAGATCACCAGAGCTTAATCAAATATAATAACATTAGGGAAAAAAATAGAAAATTGAAGTTAGAGCCCAAGTTCCTATTTGTGATTTAAATTTCAATTTAAATAACAGTAACTTACATGACTTTTTGAAAATGAGACCTAACTACAAAAAAGCTGATTTGATAAAGTAACTAATTAAAATCTCAAAGGCTAGAAAGACAAAATGCAGAAAGTACAAGCCTGTGGCAATCAGTACATTGATCTTCCCCCTAAAACAATTTGTCCAACAGCTTAATTTAATATTTCCATTTATGTCTACAAGCCAAAGGGACTAATATAAGTGTTGAGACAAATGTCTCTGCATCTAAGAACCAAATTGCAAACAGAACATTAGATTCCATTTGTTCATTTCTGGATCAAATACTTAACTATTTAAAGACACCCCCTCCCAATAACCTACCAATTTTATTTCTATTATAATCATTAACTATGCTCATCAAAGGCACACATATTTGTTTCCCTAGAAGGACTTTTTCTTTATCCCTCAGGAAGGCATATGACAACATACAAGGCATTGAATTTATGGTATAAAATTTAAATTTGAACCATCAAACTCAGAAGATTAATGTGTGAAAAATGACATTAAAATACTTACATTTCTCAGCTTTCTGCTATAATCAAGGCTCCTAGTAACAAAGAAAGAAAAAGTAAACAATATCAGAATCAGTGTTTTAATCGCAATCAGATCTTAAGCACCTCTAAAACGTGCCTGATGCTAACAAACATAACAAACTCATGAGAGCACGTGATTATAGTTGAAGTCCATCATTGGTGACTTCAGTTACCAAATAAAATTATTTAGGGAAAAAAATGTAGAAGGACAATGTGCAAGGAACATGTCGCTGAGCTCAATAAAATGGAGAATACTTTGTAATATCTGAAAAATGAAGAATTCCACTTGAAACTCAAACTGCTGTCAAAGCTTTCCTGGTGAATAAAGATTTTGCCTAAATTACACAATATTGATAAATTGAAATCTAAATTTTAAAAATTTTCATTGCTGTTGTTGTGGTTGTTATGTGCAGTCTAGTCACCCGTGACTCATAGCGATCCTATATAAAACAGCTCTGAAACCTGTTCTATTCTGTTCCAACTTTACTGTCTTTGACACGCCTACCTCTCATTACCTGAGTCATTGAATCAATCCATCTCATTGAGGTTATCTCTCTCTTTCTCTGTCCCTCTACCCTTCTCAGCATGATGTCCCTCTCCAAGGACTGATCCCACCTTGCAACATGCCCAAAGGATGTCAGACAAAGCCTCAGAATACTTGCCTCCAAGTGGCAGCCTGGTTTCACCCTCTCTAGGACGAACCTGTTTGCCCTCCTGGCAGTCCATGATATATTCAAAACTCTTCTCCAGCACCACAGTTCAAAGGCATCAATTTTGCTTCTATCATCCCTAGGCATTGTCTGGCTCTCTGATGCATAGCAAGCAATTGCAAAGACAATGGCCTGGATCAGGAGCATCTTAGTCTCCAGACTGACAACATTGCTCTTCAGTATTCTGGAGAGATCCCTGACAGTCAACTTTCCCAGTGCAATTCATCTTTTGATTTCCTGGCTGCTTGTTGAGCATCGATTGTGAAGCCAAGCAAACTAATGTTGTTAACAACCTCAATCTCTTCACCAGCTATCATAATGCTTCCACTCATCTCAGTGGTGAGAATGTTTGTCTTCTTGATGTTGAGCTTCAATCCATATTGAAGGTTGCAGTCCTTAATCTTCTGCAGCAAGTGCTTCAGGTCCTCCTCAGTTTCAGCAAGCAGGGTTATGTCATCTGCATACCGCAGATTGTTGATGAATCTTCCTCCAATCCTGATGCCACATGATGCCTCATATAGTCCAGCCTCTCAGATGATCTTTTCTGCATATAGATTAAAAAGATATGGAGATAGGACACATCCCTGTTATACACCCTCCCCAATTTTGAACCATGTAGTGTTTCCTTGCTCCGTTCTGACAACTGTCTCCTGGTCCACACATAGGTTTCGCATAAGCATAATCAACTGTTCTGGGATTCCCATTCTTCTTAGAGTCATTCACAGTTTGTTGTGATCCACACAGTAAAACACCTTTGCATAGTCAATGAAACACAGACATTCCTCTTGTACTCTCTGCTTTCAGCCAAGATCCATCTAACATTAGTTATAATATCCCTAGTAACACGGCCTCTTCTAAATCCAGACGCACATCTGGCAATTCTCTGTTGATGTATTGCTCAAGTCATTTTTTTATAATTTTCAGCAGAATCTTGCTTGCATGTGATATTAATGATACTGTTCAATAATTTCTGCACTCTGCCAGTTCACCTTTCATTGGAATGGGAACAAATACAGATCTCTTCCACTTTGCCGGATGGTTTTCCTCCAGATTTCTTGGCACAGCTTGGTGAGCTACCTGTCTGTTGAAATATGTCAATTGGTATGCCATCAATTCCTGGAGCCTTGTTTTTTTCCAATTCTTTCAGAGCAACTTGAATTTATTCATTACCACAGGTTCTTGCTCATTCATTGGTTCATGAAATTCTTCTGTGTCAGCAAATTTTTTTTAATACAGGGACTCTGTATGCTCCTTCCATCTTCTTATAATGATTCTTGAATAATTTAATATTTTTGTCCAAAGCATCCCTAAGTATTGCAACTAATGGCTTGAATAATGAAGATCATTTAAAGTACATTTTAAAAAGTAGCAACTCCACTACTCAGTGTATATGTGCTATGTGTGTACGTGTGTATATGTGTTATGTGTGCACGTGTGTATATGTGTTATGTGTGTACGTGTGTATATGTGTTATGTGTGTATATGTGTTATGTGTGTATATGTGTTATGTGTGTATATGTGTTATGTGTGTATATATATATATATATATATATATATATATATATATATATTCTCAAGAAACAAACAAAAAGCTGCAATAGGAACTGCTACACAATCACCTATATTTATCACAGTAATATTTACAATAACAAAGAGTTGAAAACAACCAGAGTCCATTGATGGATAAATGAACAAATAAACTGTGGTTTATTAACATAATAAAATATTATGCACATTGCTGAAAAATGGTTAAGAATTCATAAAATACTGTACAACATGGGTACATCAAGAGGAAATTACACTTAATGACATGTTATTGTTAGGTGCCATTGGGTCAAGTACAACTTATAGCAACCCAATGACCAACAGACCCGGGTCCTCTCCTATCCTATACCATTCTTATCATCCCTGATACACTTGAGCCCTTTGCTACAGTCATCATGTCAATCCATCTCATTGGGAATCTTCTCTTTCTAGCCTCTCCTTGCAACATGTCCAAAGAATGAGAGACAAAGCTTCGCCATTCTTACTTCCAAGAAGCATTCCTGTTGCACCTTTTCCAAGACATATATGTTTGTTCTTTTGGCAGTTGGTTGTGGTTGTTTGGGGCCATTGAACTGAATATGACTCACAGCGATCCTATGAACAAAGATCTGAACCCTGTCCTATCCTGTACTGCCCTCACAACATGCTCAAGTCCATTGCTGCAGTCACTGTGTCAATCTGCTTGGTTAAGGGTCTTTATCCCTTTCACTATTCTTCCACCTTCTCAAGCATTATGTTCTTCTCCAAGGAATAGCTTCTCCCAGTAACATGCCCAAAGTATGTGAGATGAAGTTTTATCATCTTTGCCTTCAAGTAACACTCTGGGTGCACCTTCTCCAAGACATATCTGTTTGTTCTTTTCACAGTCCATAAGATAATTCAGTTCTCTTCTTTAATACCACATATCAAAAGAATCAATTCTTTTTCTGTCATCCTTATTCATT